ACAATTGAACATGCACTTTACACCCTTTCCTCTCTGCTTATTCTTTGTCATTTCTTCTCCCTTTCTGCACTCTACAAATACACCCTCACCCACACACACACACACACACACACTTCATTTAGAGACACTCACACACACTGTGGCAAATAGTCTGTCTTTTATCTTATTCTGTCTCATCTCCTTATTGTAAATAGAAGAGAATTAAGTTCTGAACACTCTTGACTGAATGTGTCCTATCACAGAACTACGATTTATTGTCGGCTCAAATGAAGAATTGAAATATGACGGAGGGTTTTTCTCAATGTAGGGCTCATTGGACAGGAGATAACCACATTTGATTCTGTTGCTTTGAATAATGTTAATCCCAGGAAAAAAGCAAAGTCCATTATTCATATTCATCTCCTTTCATTTGGCCCCACTCCTGATTTTGTAAATATGATTTCTTTTGCCCCCCCTCCCTCCCTCCCCCTTTTTCCTCTCTCCAAAGCAATCTTTATTCACCGGTGAAACACTTTTGAAATTCCTCTATCTGAGAGCAGAAACCATTACCATACACAGGTTTATAAGAAGTAGTCATTAATGTTCCTTTATGGTGGCCCTTTAGTGCCAAAAAGGAAGCTTTTAATTCTGAGGCACGGCTGCCTGGCTTGCCATACTTAATCCGAGAGACTGGGTTTTGTCGGGCAAAGCTTTCCAAGTGGACTTTTTCCATTTCTGACTCGAATTCACCTCCTGAATCTGAAGGCTGTAATAAACTGCTTCTGTGACACGCGAAAACAAACATATGATCATAATGAGGGATTTTTTGAAGGCGTAATTTACGACACCCTTACATTAATATATGCAAAGCACTCAAATGAGTTATTTTAAACTTTCTTTTCTCCCTCCATCATTAAATTTAATGTATTATTTTGAATTTCTGCCGTTTTCAGCACATTTTTTTAGGCAGCACATATGTGGCATTTTGATTTATTAAGCAATCTGAAGTATTGAGAATGTGCGCCCTTGCCCAGTTACTTCTTTATTTTGTATGCATGGTAACTTATGGCAATGATGAATTAATTTCACTCAAGCACAGAATCTGTGATTATTTTAAATGGTAAGCATATCTCCACTTGATCACAGAGCTGTGAGGAGTCAGCAGACTGTGAAATGTAATTTCTATTATTATGATTTTCTCTTATTTTTGATCCCACAAACCAAGAGATTTCCATCCTGCCACCTGAAATGTGAACTGATAATGAAGGGACGTCGAGGATCACAGATTTACCGGTCACTTTCTTTTCCTCTTTTTTTTTTTTTTTTTTTTTGTCATTTCAATGAAAACATTTTTGCAACTCATGCATAAAAAATGAGATAGACGAAAAAGTGGATCCTCACAGAAAATGGATCGCCAAGAGACTCAGAACAAAAACCCAGTGTCAAGCCTGTTGTGTGTTAACAATGTAAGGTGTGTGTGAATGTGTGTGTTAAATTCCCCAGTGTTCCCCCAGCAGACAGCTGTGTATTCCCACTAGATGGATGGCCAGTGTCATAGTGTGTGTTTACTGCACATGATAGAGCGGGAGACAGGCCAGGTAATGAGGCTACATTAGGGGCTTTTAGAGCTCGCAAACAAAGATGGAGGGCTGCTTCTTTCCCCTTTAATGATAGGTGTGCGTTTAGTGTGTATGTGCGAAAAAGAGGGAGAGAGAGAGAGTGTCTATGAGGCGATGAAAGGCTCAGTTCCTCTTACACCTTTGTTATGTCACTTCTGGGAAGAAAGAGAGAGAAATTCTCCCAATCTCCAGGCCAAATGCGCCGTCAGGACCCTTTCTCAGATTCGGCACCTGATGGAAGAGACAGATTTGCGTACTGCGAGATTCGAGGGTAAATATTTGCTCAAGCTGAAGAGGAATAGCAAGCAAGGGGTATGGTTGCACAAGGCATGAGACAAAAGCTGGTGTTGGGCTGCAGCTCTGCAAATAAAGTGTCTGTCTGTGTCTAGCTTTGCTTAATCAGGAAATGCCTTTCTTTCTGCTGAGCCTCCGCTGCGATAGAAATGTTGGAGCCACCGTAAATTTCCAGTGTTATCTCCATCTCGCACTATCTTCCCACCACCCTTCAACCTAAACACTCACTATCACCATCATCTTCCTTCCCACAGCTATACATCTACAGCGTATTAGCAGGGCAATAACAGGCTTTCTCTCTGTTTCCGATTGCGATAATAAGCAGTCTAGGTTCTCCCTCATTGGAAGATTATGGCTTGAGGAAATAGCATCAAATGGCGGGTGTGTTGAAACGCGGGACACCAGCAATTTATGGGATGTCAAACACACAAGCGGGCAAAGCCGGCAGCCTTCACTCAAGCTTGAGCGAGACCCCCGAGTTGGACGCTGTAGCTAGGGGGCGGTGGTGTGGCTCCTTCCGACTCAGTTGGTTTAGGCCAAGCTGAGCCAGGGTCAGGGCTGGTATCCCTCAGGGAGCCGTCGTAGGCACACACTGATTCAGATACACACACCCCGCATACAGGCACACCCTCGGGTGCCAGGCATTGTCACTACCGGTCTCTCTTGAGTATTGTGTTTCTGTTTGAGAGTGTGACACTTCCATCACCCCCACAGTCGGCTCGGCAGCCTGGTCGCCCGCTCGTCACTGCAGCCCGGCTGTGTTTCTAATTGACATTCTAATTGGCAGATTTGAATGCCGCCTTTAGATGGCTAATTAATTTATCTCACCGCTGTCATTAAGGTTAAAGCACCATCTGATATCTGCGAATATACTTTGCATATATCTGCATTATCATTATGTTGCAGTTAGACATATTGCAGGGATTTTATTTTGGAGGAGGGTGGGAAGATTATGGGTCTGAGATTAGGCTGCATATGGAGCTTTTATTGTTTGTGTGTTAAATTCAAATTATACTCTCATTTCTTTTTTTTTCTTTGCTCATACAGAGAGATGGCTAATTCTTACCTTTTTTCCTCTTTATAATATTAATGCTTTATATTACAATAATTACATGCACGCACATCATAACCATATTTCATTGGTTTGTTAATATCAAAGTAGCAATTTTCCCTTGGACTTCCGTAGCAGTTTGCATTCAGATGTTATTAAAAATCCTTATTTCCTTGTCTCATATATCTTCAAGTTTTCCCGAACATCCATCCCTGGTCGGAGAAAGAGAGCTGGGAAAAAAAAGAGAGAGATATCCAGGCTCTATTAGAATGTTCATAAAATTGTAGTAAAGGCAATCAGACAGTCTTTCTCTGAATATTTTAAACATCAGGCATGTAAAATTTATGCCTAATTTGAATACTTATTAGCCGGCTGATCTCGGGCTGCAGCCTTGAGTTTCTTATGCTGAGATTCATCACCGGATTGGATGTCACATTGTGCCAGTCTCTCCCCCCCCCCCCCCCATCTCCATCCACCACCTTCTCCACCACCTTCCTCCCTCCCACTCAGTCTCTCTCTTTCACTCCCATTCTTTTCATCTGTCTCTCTCTGTCACCTCCCCACCCTCTCTGTCTCTCTCTCTCTTTCTTTTTCTGTCTTTTTTTTTTTTTTTTTTTCTCCTGCGTGTCTCTCCATCAGTAGTGAGCGGCGCGGTGTTAAACAGGGGCCTGTTTGTTCACAAGCACGCCTTGTCCTGGCCTCTTCCCTATTTACTTGTGTCCCGGGCAGCTGTCGCCCTGCTCTGTGTAACAGCTCAGCCCTGTTTGTTCTCCCCTGCCTGGATCCTGTTTATCCTGGCTGTAGACATCCTTTAAGGCCTGTCCTGTATCTGCCCCTCGTCAAACACACTCACACACACACACATACACACACACAAACACATTGAAGAACGTGTACACACCTCTATTAAAACGGTATTTACCAGCCAAAGAATACACACAGACGGTACCCGTGTGAGCTGGGCACAAATGCTCAGAAAAACACATGCACACACACTCTCACACACACATTATGAGCATTTGAGCTTCTTTTGTTGCATGTTTGGTTTCTCTTGGACTAAGTTTGATCCCTGAGAAAAATCTGAATATGTGCTAAATTAAAAAAAAAAAACATATCAGAGATAGTTTTGAGTGTAGTTGATCTGAAATTGTTATTTTGCGGTTGAAAACAGCACAGAAACGGTGTTTGTCGAGCCTGAATGTCTCTTATTTATCGTGAGAAGGACGGCTGGTGTTTGCTGAGATCCTCTCTGTCCTAGTGAAGATACAGAGCATTAAATGCAAAGGGGGAAACGATGAAACATTTATTACTGGAGAGAGTGGAGGTAATATACATAATTTATGCTGTTTTTAGCACAATCATTAGTGATATTCTGATAAAAAAAATCCCCTCTTCTCTCTCTTTTTAAATATCTAATAAACACAGGAGTTTCACAAGGTGGCATATTTATTTACTGCAAAAGCTGTCATCCCGCACCGAGTTTGATTCAAGCTCAGTATCAGTGAAATTATGTCCCACTGCAAAATAAAGCAACATTCATGGCAGAAATTATGAAGCCTGTAGATTTTATTTAGCCACAGAAAAGATGACAAACCCATTATAATGTTCATCACCAGCTTTGCACCATGTGATCCACTGCTGCTGCCTCCTCCCTCTCCTCCTCCTCCTCCTCCTCCCCCCTCCTTCAAATTTTAATTTTGCATGATTAGCTTTGCGTCATTAGGCAACTTCATTCACATGCGACACACACTCAAATTCTGACAGCATCAAGACGGGAACGGTTTCAGGAGAACCTGTGCTTTTATTTTTCTGTCTGTGCAGACTGACTGTCCTGAAGTGTGAGCCAGATATTAGGAAAAGACCCCTCGTAAATCACTTTTTTTTTTTTTAAAGGCATACTTTAGCAGATCAATGTGTATAATTAGAAAAGATATATAAATTAAAAGCATAGATTTATGCTTAAATTTTAAAGCACATTTATCTACCCCTCCCAATTGAAGCAGCACCAGGACGTGCATCTCTTTGTATTGCTTCATTTACACAATGAATGCATAATTGCTCCTCCTGCATCCAACCCCCCCTCTTCCCTTCCTCCTCTCCCCCTCCCTCTTCTTTAAATGCTTTAATTTGCAGAGGGGGACTGAGGGCTTGATAATAGAAGCATAACAAAAAAAAAAAAAAAATAGGATGAGAAAAAAAAAAAAAAAGGTGTGGGGGGGTTGAATTGTAACAAGAAGAGCCCTAACCGGTGCCTCTTAATCACTTCTAGGTTTAAAATCATGATGATGCAGGAGTCGGCCACAGAGACAATAAGCAACAGTTCAATGAGTCAAAATGGAATGAGCACCCTAAGCAGCAGCCAATTAGAGGCTGGCAGTAGAGATGGGAGATCAAGCGCTGGTGACACGAGCAGCGAAGTAAGCACAGTCGAGCTGCTGCATCTGCAACAACAGCAGGTAAGTTGTGTTTCTCCCCCGTCTCGTCTCTCTCTCTCTCTCTCTCTGCCGCTCTCGCTCTCTCTCTCTCTCTCTCTCTTCCACTCTGTTTGCCCCTCGCTCTTCCACTCTTCTCTGCTCTAAGGCAGCGCTGGGGCTCTTTCTACATAGGCAAAGGGGCGCAAAAAAATATGGTTTTGTGTGAATTTCTATAAATATTTTTGTGTTTTGTGCAGAGAGAGAAAAAAAGATTGTGTAAATAATCGGCTGTTTTTGTTGTGGGAGAATTTTTCTCGGTAGGTTTGTTTTTTCCTGGAGTGTTTCGCCGGCAGAGTGATGAAAATGTTGTAGTTGGTTTTTAAGACGTTGTTGTTGTCGTCATGTTTGAATTTGTGCTTAAAAAGAGCTCATTACTGATGTGCGAGGCTGTGTTAGACTTGGAGGAAGAGAGGGAGAGATGTTGAAAGTGTGTGCCGGAGCACCATATAGACCCAGCTTGAGTCGTGTGTGCGTGTGTGTCTATGTGTCTATGTGTGTGTGTGTGTGTGTCATGGCAGCGCTGTATCCACCAGAGGGCCTCCTAACTCGGCTCACACTCAGATACAGACCCACCAGAGGCAGGAAAACCTTTGACCAGGACACTTTTGGGAGGAAAATTTACATGGAGTGACTCTGTCTCACTTAACCTCGACTAGACATAATTAAGATCCTTTCAACACACTTTATTTTATTTTCTGCAAAATCATTGCATTCTGTTTATTATTTGTGATTGAAATTGATTTCTTTTTCCTTTTTACAACTCTCTGTTTTTATGTTTTCCTTTTTATATCCATGTTTTGTTGTCCTCCCTCCATTCCTCTCAGTCAGAGTGAGTTGGGGGTGAATGACCTGCAGGGAGAGTGTATATGTGTGTGTCTGTGTGAATGTGTGTGTGTGTGCGTGTTTGGGGGGTTGGAGTTGTGAAAGTCAGTCACCAGCAGAGTAAAAGAGTCAAGTGTCTCTCGTGTCTTTTCACGGTGAATGATGGCTTTGACAGTTCTTCAAAAGAGCAGTGGGAGACGAGGTCAGGAGGCCGTGCTGCGGGGCGATCGGGGGACAACGCCGCCGGTTTGTAATGATGCGCTCTGTCCTTAAGGGTTGTTGGGGATGTTCATGCAAGAGTGTTTTTTTTTTTTCTTCCCCCCCTCTACCCTACATGTGTGTGTGAAGCAGCTGAACGCCTGTGGTCAGATTTGTACAACAGATTCCCCTTCTTTCTTTGTATATGTGCGCTGAAGGGGATGTTTGGTGTAACAAAATTTTCATCCTTCATTCCCTCTCATGCCCTCATCCCATCCCAGCACCCGGTCTCTGTGCACCAGCATGACCCCAGCAGTGCTGCTGGTGGCCGCAGCAACTCTGTGGCCTTACCCCTCATTTATCACCACTCTGGTACTCTTCCTACACACACAGAAACACACACACCTGATTGGGGTCAGTCCTCCTCTCTCTCAGTCATCACTCTTTGGGAGAAGAGGTCTCTCTTTCTGTTGAGGGTAAAAGAAACAATACAGAGCAGATAAGAAGAGACTATAAACCACGTTGGCTGAGAAAACGTCTGCTCTTATTTGCATTTTATTTATGAGTTTTTTGGCGTTATAGTTCTGCACAAAAAAATGCCTCTTCAGATCTTGAAATAATGTGAGCATTTTGGAGGGTTTTATTTTGTAAATACATGGCGACATCAAAATGAAGAATAACAATAACTTTAAAGGATTAGCCGGCACTTCATTTTGGATTATGTCAGGTAAAAATGTGCAAATAAGAACAAGTGTTCAGATGATATGAGGATTGTTTGTAACTTAAATTGTGCAGGCAACAAAAAAATATTTGGAAATATAAAAAGAGTGTTTTTAGTTTTTGTTTTTTTGCATGTGTGAGCAAGAAGTAGATGACGTGAGAATCTTGTTAGGCTTTTATTTAAGAGAAACTTGACCACGTAACAGTTCAACGTTAACAAATCCAGATGACTACAATGTAACTCAGACCGAGCACAAAAGTGTGTGTGTGTGTGTGATTGTAAACTCGGGAAGTCGTCCGAAAAAGAAAGGAATCTGTGTTTAAATAAAGCAGGGGCGCAGAGAGAAACGCACTGTAAGCATAAAACCTGTAGTTAAGACTCTGAGATTGACGTGCGGCTAAGAGCCGGTGGTGGTGGGTAGTCGAGGGTGCATGGTGGGTGGGTGGGTGGGGTGTGGAGAGGATGTGACAGTGTGCGCCTTGTAAAAAAGGAGGCCAGCCCAAGCCCTTCTCTCCACAAACCCAGAGACAGACACATTGAAATGAGCAGTCCAGCTAACAGGTCTCTGGAGGCTTTTTAAAACAGGGGGCCCTGTGCTGTTAACTTCACACACACTTCCTGTGTCGAGAAAAAGAGAGAGAGAGAGAGGGAGAAAGCTCGGTCCAAGCGAGAAGACGGAACATGGAGTTTTTTATGCATTAGTAAGCAAGGACGTTTGCTATTTTGCTGCTGTTAGCAAGCTCATCTGAAGAAAGGTGAACTTGTGTGTGAAACATGCATATTTGTGGTCCTATTTTCTTCCTCTTTTTGCACCTGTGAGCAGCTTTAAAAAATTCCAGCCCACATCTCTCTCTCTCTCTCTCTCTCTTTCTGCTCTGAGTCCATTTTTGAAGGAAGGCTGTTGGGTGTAATTTTCCACCCATATTTGGAATGACATTGAGTGGTCCGGTGGGTATAGAGGCTCTGGTCTCTCATCACGCTGCTGGGGGGATGATTAATAATAAGCACTGATGAATTCTCCACTGTCCCTGTGGGTTCTGCCATTACCTTAGCAGCTCCAAAATACCACCTGCAGCTATAATTAGAAGAGCAGCATCTTAAGGTCTCCTCGCCTTTAGATTCAGCCGGGTTACACTCCGGCACTTTCACCATATTCAAATATTGATAGTTGAATTTTTCCCCTTGACAAAACAAACGTGCGCTTGTTTTTGTTTGTTTCTTCAATGTGCGCTCACCAGAGAGTCAATACAAAAGCCACTCACACCACACTCCCTAATCCATGCATCTGAATAATAACCATAATGTCACAATTGAATTCCCAGCCCCTAATTTTGTGTCCGGGTTTCATCACCCCCATTCCCAAGGTTGTCTAAATAGACCTAATTTGATTTGAGATCACAGATTAGATCCCCACTGTATCTGATTGCAATTTGCCAGCTCCAGATATGTATCACAGCAAATGATAAATGTAGCACAGCCTTAATTACTACGCTAAAACGATCACTATAAAAGCTCCCCCTGCTTCAAAAAAAAAAAAAAAAGAAAAGAAAAAATGTGCTGAGCTCATATTAGCAATCAATTTATCATCGACTGTACTTTGTCTTATGTTTTAATATGAGATGCAGCTGTGTGTGTACATCAGAGCAATGCATTGATCTTTGGATCTATAGCATAATGTCCCATAATGAGGCTGTTAGTTGATTACAGTGGTCTGTGGACTTAATCCTGCACGGGGTTATCAGTGGGATTGATGAGCCAATATTCATGGCTACTGCCCCCTCTAAATGGAGTCAGTACTTTAAGAAGTATATTGATATTCTGTGCAGGATGGAGGCTTAGGCCCTGGTCTGTCACTGTACAAAAAATAAAAGAAAGAGTGACTTATAAAACTCAAGCATAACGGAGAAATTAAAGAGATTCATGTCTGTTTGCTGTTGCCATGTCTCTAAAAACAAGTCCTTTGTTTACCCATGTTTGTGGTTTTATTTTCACTAAAAAAGTGCTTCATATTGGAGTACTGCCGGAGTGGAATTGTTGGTAAACTGGTTTAGAATAAATCCAGCGCTGTTTTCCTGAGGCACATGATGCAGCAAAATGCAAACCATCCAAGCCCATTTAAATGACTGCAGCATTTTGACATAAATTACCACAAGTGCGCCGAGGTGCCATCTTACTCCCAGGCTAACCCTGTCGCTACACGGGAGTTAGGCAGTGGTCCAACTTGAGAGTGACAGCAATTAACCTGCCTTCCTCGCTGTGTAGCTTCAGGAAAAGAAAGGGTTGAGGAATCTGACAGCCAGTGATGGGTAATATTTAGGGTTTAGGGGCAAATGAAATTCTCCCCCAAAAATGAAAGTCATTAGGGAGAAAGTTACCCCACAGACAAAGAGGGACGGTGTGTGGGTGTGTGTTTGTGTGTGTGTGTATGTGCATGCTCATGCTCACTTTTTTGACAGACGTGTGAGCTCACCTCTCTTATAACAGCTCAAGATTGTCGTTTAATGCAGGTAAATACTAAAAATACTGTCACAGCGTTCACTTAGCATCACCTCTCACAAACAAGCCTCAAGCATCTTTCTCTCTCTGCCCTTCACCTGCTTCTCTGTCTTCCTCTGAGAAAGCACACACACACACACACACATACACACACACACACACACACACACATGCACACACCTAAGATGCAAATCTGTGCTTTGCCCTTGAGCATAATTTAAAGGCCTAATCACCCAGACTGTCCCTTTGGATGGAAAAGGGAAAAAGAGGAGGGAGGAGAGGGAGGATGGTGTCTCTCATTTGCACCCTTACACAAAGAAGCTCATTAGGTTTATCTTTCAGGCCTGAGATTGCCCCACTCAACTGTGTAAATAAGACACCGGCCCCGGCCTGGCACATCAATCACCTCTCAGGACAGGAGACAGACCTCGGCTGAAATATGAACGAATTCATAAAGAAGCCTTTTGTTGGCCATCATCATCTGTGAGAAGATAAGGGCCTCCTGTAAAGGCTGGAGGAGCATTAGAGG